CATAGAAGAGACCAAGACCTGCAAAGTTATCTTGAAAAGCTGAGTTTCGGCGACCACAAGCTAGTCATCCTGAGCGTGGATATAGTTGTTTCAGAAGAACTTGGGAATTTGGCTTAGGACTCCTGGTAGTAGCAGGATGTGGACCACCATGTGAAACCTGGTCAAGGGCCCGCTTACATGGTGAGCAGGACGGTGGACCAATGATCCTGCGAGATGCGGCTTCCCTGCATGGACTCCCACAGCTGCGACCGTGTCAGTTTGAGCAAATCCTGACTGGCAACTTGCTGTTGGGGATTGCAGTGACGCTGGCATGCCTGGCGCTTGTACACGGGGCTTTCTTTTTCACATCACATCCTCGATGTCCGCCTGAGGAGCATGCCGCCTCAATTTGGCGGCTACCAGTGCTTAAGTTCCTTCTTTCTCAGCAAAGAGTTGCGCTTTTCAATATATGGCAAGGCCAATTTGGGGCGCCAAGCCCCAAGCCGACGTCCTTTCTGTGCAACCCGCCCTCAACTGTTGAGCAAAACCTCGCAAAGCCTCCCCAAAACGGGCTTCATCGATCGAAATGACCAGGGAGAGTGGTTGACTTCTCGTTTGAAGGAGTATCCCCCAGCACTAACGAACGGGTGTTGAGTGATCCACGACTACTTGCTGGAAAGAGGATCATCTTCCGCTCTAGTTGACTTTCCAGTAGAATGGGAACCGCTCCTGGAGGCCTTATCTGTTCCACTTCCCAACTCGGCCGGGGCCGGACTTCCATCCAATTAGGTGCATGCACACTAGGCTACCGGCAAGACCGCACAGCTGAGAGGAGTAAAAAGAAGTGCTTAATTTGCATTCCAAAGCTTCCTTTGGTGACTTGGTTTTTGTGCCTTTTTTGTGCATTCTTTGCGGCATTAGTGTGTTTCATGTGGTTTGCCTTGTTTGTGCCTTTTAATGTTTTGCAGCGTCCATGTATATGCTTCAACTCGCAGGGTCCACGCTCGGCAGGGTCTGTCGGTCCAGAGCGGTCTTGGAAGGGGCCGACCAAGAGACGAGGTTCACCGGGAAAAGACAGGGAACATGGTGGAAGAATGGTGATCTCAGTGGGTTGCGCACAAATGGACATCCAGCGCAATCCAGCGCTGGACATCCTGACTAATGATACTATAATGGGGAGATCGCAAGCAAGAGTGCACACTGCAGACTGCGGCCCATCTGCCTGCAACCGCCATGGCAAAGAAACCCGCTGAGCAAATTCCGAAAATGAAACGATCCACGATGGCGTGTTCAGCCAAGTTGAACGGATCAGATTTGCATGCTGTTTTTGGTAATTGCTCAAAACGCTCTCTGCTTCCCTATAGTGGTTGTCAGCTGCACTGAAGGTTGTCACTCTCGTTGGTACTCTCTTTGAGTGGTTAGTAAACATTGTGGAATAAAGGCATCCAGAGTGCATAGTCTACAAAGTACATCTGCGAGCCTGTGCAAAAACAATGTCGCAGTTCTGCTTCTGTGTCACAAGCAGAAAACAAATGGGGTGATGCAAATCTGGCTCCTCCTCACTATATCAAGGAAAGCGAGCTTTTGCAGGCTGCGCAAGGGGTGTATTCTCCTAAAAACAATGAAAATGGCTAGTTGTCCCGCCCAGAAGCAATCTCGGCTGACACAAGCAGCAACTTCCACTCCCCTCAGCATTGGAACCCTTTTCACCGTCTGCGAATATCAAGCACAGCCAGTTCTGCAATTCCTCCACCGTGTAAAACTCGCTGGGGCATCGCTGGCTTCCTGACCAGACCGAAAGAGAATCCATGTAAAACATGTAAATGCAACCAACTGTTGTCATGTTTTGTTCGATTCAAGTGACAATCTCTGGACAATGACTTGTATCAACAAAAATACATATATTTATTATTCATGTGTCTAAGATGCAATGCAGTTCACTCTCATCATTCATAAAGCGTTGCATGGCAAATGGAAGCTTGTGAAGAAAACAGCTTGTTGCCCAAAGCACGTGCATCACATGGACACGGAGCAGCTCCGGATTCTCAAAAAGATCTCCGATGTTCCTGGACACCCGGCGGTTTCTGGTGGCCAAGTGTCTAGAAGTTGCGCATCTTTGGGATCCAGGTGGAAATCCAGATCCAAGTCCTCTCGAATGTGCTGCTCCTGAGGTTTTTTTCACACGAGACCGGATGCTCGACTTCGTTACCAGGAGGACGAACCGGAGTGACCAACCCCGAGGTCTCAGAGTCACCGAAACTCGGTTTCAAGGAGCATCACTGTAGACTCTTGATTCATTTTAACAACCAAAAATGGATTATAAAGCCTCTTCTGAAGATCAATCAGTCTGTAGAAGATCAATCAAATGGATTAGTAGAAGATCAATCAGTCTGTACATGGAGACAATCACATACTCTGATTCATCTCATCCGGATGAACACACAGCTTCGAATCGAAGTCTTCCATCCGCTTCCCTAAACCCTTAAGGACAGATGCCTTAAACATGCCTGTTTTTCCTCACCCGGTGTCACCGGGGGTTGCCGTGAAGGTCAACGTCGACGTCTGCCGTGTGGTGCGGTCTTCTTCGGCCGCGGGACGGAGTTGGTTCCGGGGATCACGGCGATGCCCTGATCCAGTGCCCAGCGCAACAAGACCTCGTTCGATGCGCGCATGGAGAAGGAGGACGAAGGAGGCAGTGATTTGGGGTGTCTTTGGGGTGGATTCTGCCTCCAGGCCACTCGGATAGAAAACTTTCGGATCTACAGCAAGGTGCTGCGGGGTTGTAGATGGGGCAATCCCGGATTGATTGAAACCCAAATGTGGCAGGGCAAGAGCATTGAAACATGGAGCTATCATCAAAATGTGCAACATGTCTTTCTTCTGCACCTGTGCGTTGGTCCGGCCATACTTCGCCGCGACCTTCGATACAACCTGGCTGAGAACAGGCGGAGTGGGAAACAAACACAGCATGTTTGGTATGTCTTAAGATTGCCTTTTGGAGGGCTCAATACTTGGAGGCGGACTGAAACCCTGAGTCTGGTCTGTGTAGGGTACATGCACCCACAATCACAAATGCCTGACAACTCCCTCCCAAAAACACACCATCTTGAAAGTAATCAATTGCCCACAGTCAGTCAAACCAAGAATTTTGTTCCTCTATTGTGCGCAGCACTCCAATGCGTGAAGTACAGTCTCCAGATCCAACAGCATCCAATGCGAACGCGCCGATGGCGCGCAAGTTCGTGCGCGAAGCGCGGCGACGACTCGGCGACGACGCGCGGCCTCTCCCCGTGCTTGGTTGGTGGAACCACCTGTGGAGCACGGTATACTCTGAGGGAGACGAGCAAAAGACGCTCAGATGGTCCCAGGTCCTTTCTGTAGGAATCTGTAAGTATGAGTAATTACTTCATCTAACCTCGGAAAAACCGAGAAGAAACCACATCAAGAAGACGTGGATCGAAAACTGAGACCGGATGCGAATGAACTGATCATGGTGGAAACGTCATTCCTATATATATATATATTCGCTACTAGTAACAAGTGCCTTACTAGTAGTAACAAGAATATACCTATCTCCATCCCGCATCCTCTCGGACCGAAACATCCGCCCTGCAACAGACCGCACCAGATCTGTGCGCACCAGATTCTGGCCTAAAGATCCATAGGCAGTGACTACAATGCCCTGGCTCTGGCACCATCTCACCAGGTCTTTGGTTTCACTCGGCACCTGGATCGGCAGATCACGTGTAGTGGCGGGGCAGTGGCGTGGCGCCACGTGCTCACAGAATCCGTGTGAAAAACACGGGCAGGTTTTAGGCTTTAGGGTTTCGAGTGAGTTCCCGGTCTTTGAAATGTGCTTTTTGGTCCAACTACTCAACCCAAACCGGGCCAAACCGGGCCACTGCTCAAACCGGGTGGGTCAACGGGTACCTTCAGCTGGAGAAGGTGGGTGCCTTGAGCAATGAGTTGATATTTCAGACTGAGACCGTCCCGCCGAGAGCACCCAAGGGTGATACTCCAGCTGATTCACGGCGGGCACCACTTTTGTCTTGGCGATGAGCTGCTCCACTTCCTCCTGAGAGCTCTGTCACCAGTGGAAGAACATGACTTTAGGTATATCGGTATATCCCATGACCAGGGCCCAGTGGATGATGGTTCAGTTGCTGGCCGACATCTCAAAAACCAGTGATGTTCTCTTTTACCAGCTGCTACTGGTAATGGGCTATACCCTAACTAATCATACTAAATCATACTAAATCCATCTCTGAAATCCAGGATCGACATGAGACACTGCTTGCAAAACAACGTAGAAAACCACAGCTAACCGCGGATCGCAGCGGATGGTGTTTCGGTGTTTCCGCCTGTGGGTTCAGTGTCAACATGTTTCAATCCAAAGGCGTAACCCGACCTACTGAGTCCAACACGACCTACTGACCATCCGCGACAGAAGTCTACGGTCGAGTCGAGTCGGCGAGTCTACGACGACCAAGCTGGCCCGGTTGTGGTTGGACAGGCCAATGCTTCGAGCTTGTCCCGCCTGGCCAGTCTTGGGGCCCAATGATGGTACCAGTATATGGCCAAGAATAAATAGAATAGACTACCTGGGAGGTCTGAGGTCAACCTAATTACCCTGGTTTCGGGCTCCGGGTTTTGACCCACTGCCATATATAATATATATATATATATATGATCAAAGATGATCAACCCAGCGGAAATGGTCGACCTGGCTGGCTCTGCACCATGACGAGCACCCCCCCCACACACTCAGGACTGAAGGACTCCGGATCCAGACCCAAGTCTTTGAAGTGATAGACCCTTTGCTTAATGCTCAACCATGTATCAAAAAAGTGTCAAGAAGTCATAAACAACAAATCAAGTGGGCATGTTAGCGATGTTGAATGCCTCAACATGTGCCCACCAATCGAACAGTCTATGTGTGTGTGTGTGTGTGCGTCCTTTCTTCCCAGCATTCCACCGCCTTCTGCGCGGCAATGAGGCCCCGCCAGAGCGCTTCGTCGCGGTCAGGAAGGATGCCCCAGCCATCGCCCCCCGTGCAGAAGCATCAAGTCCTCGGTTTGATCGGCAGACTCAGAAGACAACAAATGTGTAAACTTAACAGAAAAGGATGGTGAACAGAGTGATGCCATCTGGAGGTGCCACCGAGTGATACCATCTGGAGGTGCCACTGGTAGTCAAGAGGGATATGATACTGGATATGATATGATTAAAATACAGTAGAAAATTTTTGCATGAGCCATGAAGTCGCGGAATTACGTTACGAGGGCTTGCCCAATTGAGCACTGCTGCCAAGGATCCACATACTTGGTGTCCAGCTGTCGCAAGGTTGTGTCCACAGCCTCTGCAGAAAGTGCAAAAAGTGCAAAACGATGAAAAAACAATAATATCCAAACTCATGCTTTGGTGAATTGCCGTTTCATGCTTCTTCCGTAAAACAAAGTGTTGGCTTCGCCATGTTTCGCCTGTGTCACCAGGAGAAATCCTCTAATCATTTACGAAGGGACGGTGTGGCTGGGACTGGCCCGTCCTTGGTGAGCTCAAAACAAAACAAACGATGTTTTAAGAGAACACCGAGAATTGGGGTGAGTGGAATGAACCGGCAAACAGTTCATTGTCATTTAGAGATGAAATACAGGATATGGTGGTGTTCTGTTATTCTTGTCTCATGCATATAACTGCAGGTTCATCTGGCTTGATTTGGAGGGGATCTAGCAAGGTTACGTTGGGTCGCTTTGTGTTTAATAGTCATGAATCATGGATACATCGTACCCTAGAACTTGAGTGGCACTGATATTGGAGTGCTGAGATAAGGACGCTGCACACTATTCCGATCAAACCGAGATCAAACTGGCTCTACAAAGGGTGGAGGAAACCACTGAATCAAAAGAAAAGGAAACCTGGAGCAAACACTCAGGTCGGCCTTCAAAACATCCTCTGGAGTGTTGCAGCTCTGCACTCGTACTTTGGAGGTAATCCACAGCTCCTCACGCTTCACACCACTCTGGCGAATCGCCTGGCAGAAGCACAGCTCATGCACCACTGCGCAAGAGCATTGCGTGAGGTTGGTTCGTTCGAACGCTTCGATCGAAGAACGCTTCGGGAAGGCCACGACGAGACCGGACCTCATGGCCTCGTCACCGATGTTCACATCGAAAGCTGCCAGCCAGCAGTTCCATTCAGAAGTCTTGCAAGCGAAACTTGATACAGTCCGTGGCTCTGTGGCTGCAACCTTCAGTCTCTTTTTAGGATTCGTACAAAAACTCCTGCTCGCACACAGCGAACGAATCCCCACCTGTTTCAACTGTGAAAACAGAGCGGCCCGCCTCAGCAATATCCTCGTGATTGCCATAAATCTGTGCCGTGTCAATCAGCCTGGAATCTGAAGAGACGGCGGAACTTGGCCCCTCGAAAGAGGCGCAAGATTAAAGCAATGCTTAATTGGTCTAAAATTCTTTTAAAAAAATATATTGAAGCCACCAGAAGCACAGTAACTATCTATATGACAAAATTAAGAAATACAAGCAACGTAACATATTAATATCATGGCAACGTCGTTTGTCCTCATTTTCAACCAGGTAATAGTCCATTTGTGTTACGCGTAGCGCTCCGTTCCGAAAGATAAGAGTGTCTTAACCAGATGGTGCGCTGATCGCGTCGGAGGCGCCTACCCCCAGCGGCAAGATAGGCTTTGACACCTTCCACCAACTCCTAAGGCATTTGTGACGTGTGAAGAAAGGCCGGTGATGGTGTGATGATTCGGTCGGTTCATTCGATCGATCCGGAGCCCAAGATGGGAGTTTTAATCATCTACAACTGGTCAATCAGCGACGTTTCAGGAATGCTGTTTTGAGAAAATGGTGTTTTTTTTTGCATTGAAAGTCGACATTGAATCACTGGTGGACGGCAACTCGACTATTTTTTCGGACCTGGGATTGGCACAAAAGTGGAGTGATTGTGAAATAAAGTCATCAAAGAAGTTGTTTCTGGTCATTCAAAAGATCCAAAGGGAACAGCCAAAGCAACTACGTATCGAAGAAAAATACTACCCTACCAGGACCCCCCCAAGGGGTGTCTATTTATAGCCCCTTAGCTGTTAAGGGGTGTCCATTAACCACCCCTTGAAGGCCCTGGTAGCATTGACACTCTTGACTTCCCTAGCATTGACTAACACGATTAGGCAAGCTTCTTCCCCCTTGGCACCAGGACGGCAGCAAGTGCCATAGCCAATCGGCGGCATTGGCTTGGGTGATCCTGCCTGAAGCAAACACTTAAGAGATGGCTGGATATGGGAAGGATTGAGACACAAGTCATGTCCTATGAGTTTTGAGACTCATGACTGGTCCGTAGACCTTTGGGTGTGTCCGACTGTGGGGCGGCCCATCATGCTTCTTTCTTTGAAGAGTGCTTGGAGGACACATCGATGTTCGATCGAACACGTTGGGTCCTTTTTTTTGGTGGTTATGAATATTTAAATAAACCCTAGAAGTCCAGTTCGACTATTTTTTGACCGGCTGAAGTAAAGGAAGTTCCCCAACTCAGTTCCCCTAAAGACCATTCTTTTATAGTCTTTGACTCCCAGGGTAAATCTAAAAGAGTGCAAAATAAGGCCACGGGTTCCGGAGGTTGTAGTCAATCTGCCTTTATCATTGGGAGACATGTCAGCAAATGTTTGAGCAGCAAAACACTCCAACAGACTAAAGCCACCCCAACAACATCATCTTGGAGGCCCTAAAATCCCACCACGTCCGACATCCAACGAGACCAACTCTGCATAGCTACCACTGGCAGCGGCGTTGGAGCGGCGTTGGCAGGCACGCCCACAGCAGGACTCAAGATGATGGCGCCCAAAAGATGGCGTCGAGGCAGGGCCTTGGTGCCATGTGCGAGTGCAGACCATTTCATGGGTTTTGCTGATTTGCTTCCAAAAAAAAACGCAAAGAAAAGAACCGGAAAGTCTATCCAAATCGTTGCTATGGCAGGAGCACATCCTCTCTGAACCACCTTTGGCCTTTTATTGAAGAAGCTTCAACATGGGTGTGAAGCTGACTTATACTGCCCAAACAATCCTTGGTTTGAAGCAGCAAGGTTTGGTGAACACCACCGGTTTCTAAAACTTTCTAAAGGAACAATCGTCTTCCAAGCACGTTCTCGACAAGCATCAGCGTTCTTTGCGCTGCGCAGAGTTGCAAATGTCTGCGGCCTCCATAAGACCTGAGAGCACAAGTCTTCGGCGCGAGATTCCAAAGGCCCCGCCGAAATCCCGGAAAGTGATCTCGGATCAGCGTTGTGAAAATGCCAGGTGAGGCGCTATCAGAAAGGCCACAAGGCGCAAGCTTCGCCGTGCCATGATCAGGGGCAGGGGAAGAAGCGCGTGGCAGGTGTTGAGGGATGTAAGTGGTCGAGTTTCTCCGCCGCTACCCAGCAGAATCAGAACACTTCTGCATCTTGAAGTGTCTTCCTTCATATTCGTACATTAGTAGGTCAGTTAAACAGGTGTCCAAAAGACCATTGATGTCTGATCTTTAAACCATTGGTGAGTGTAACTCCTTCCTCTTCGCCAATTCCTTTGAGCGAAGTTCGGCTTCAGCTGTCCACCTTCACCGATTGCTCGGTGAAGCCTGTGCAGAACCGACCAAGATCCAAAGACCCAAACATCTAACGTTGTGCTGCATTAATAAATACTATAGTCTTACATCACGGAGGAATAGCAACCCTCTGAACCCATGCCTGGCATGCTTCCAAGGAAACGGCGTTGTCGTGTTGTTTCATTTTGTTCCGATCGTTTTGATCAGTTCGGTGATCGTTTTTTTCCCTGAACGTTCAAGCCTTCTACCAAGTCGTGAGCTTTCAATCATTTGAGTTTCGGGCTTTCTTCCATCGAACCACCTGATTGAACTAACCCCACAATGCTGGTGGTTGTGGCCAGATCTGGGTGGAGAAGAGGGCAGATCTGGGTTCGGCAAATGCGCGGAGGTTGGAAGGGCATGCACTTGAAACACATCAAAGAATCACCGTACCTCAGACTGCAAGTAGTTCAGTATGCTGATTCGCTACCATCCGCTCATTTTCCAGCCTGCTAGTTTGTCCATGCCAGCCAAAAGCTAGGCTCTCTAAGGTAAGGGTGTGAAAGGTGCCAGAATAAATCCGTGCACATGTGCATCAGCTACAGTAAATTGAAAGCTCCTCGGTAACTGTGGAATCTGCGCTGCTATGTCAGTGTTTCTCTCAGATTCTTTGGTAGCACCCAGCTGCAAATCTGGTACGAGTTCATTCCTCAAACGACAACATGGACTGTTTCAATCTGAGGGCAATTGATTCCCAAAGGCTCAGCAGAAACCCAAGTACATACATAACATTACATAACTGTGTCGGATACATGCTCATGTGGTAAGTGGCTAGGAAGATGAAAGGGCTTACTTTTATGTCTGAAGGACGTAAGATGAGGCACAACCATCCTCAGGTAGCTCCAGAATAGGCGGAAGTTGCAACAAATCTCGGCTTTTTCCATCTAGACTTGACCTTGTCATTTCACACTATGATCCGCTAGACTGCGAGACAGTAGACAGGTGCTGGTGTTTTCTGAGCCAACCTCAGTCTGTTTTGTAACAGCAGAATGTCCACTGCACGCTCGGAGCTTCAAATCAAGTCTGTGCTACCATGCATCATCCTACTCGCACTGGGCGGCTGGAAAATGCACCAGTACGGAAATTGGTCGATCCGGGCGCTAGGAGAATCGGAGAACAGTTGAGCCACCGAGAGAATGGTTCAATCAAACAATTTGACCAAGGGTTGTCCATTTAAGTCTCTCCTTACGGACAAACACCCCCTAGGATGGTACACATGTCGGTGCAAATTTGTCTTTCGAGTCCTGCAAAAGACCGGACGTCTTAGACGCGGGGGGTCAGCGTAGTGAAAAAGATACAGCTATGTAACTCCATGAAACACATTGAAGGAAACATGTCAGAGCCATTCTGAGAGCCATTCTGATCACCACCCTGCTTCACTTTGCTCTACCACGTAGTGGGCCACCTAGCTTCGAGCTCGCTTTCGCTTCGCCGCACGTGGGGGAAAAGTGATGCACAGCATCGGTGGTCCGAAGACCAACACAGACAGTGGTCGTTTCACCCACCTTCGGAATGCAGGTGACGGGAGATCCGGACCGGGAGATCCACATGTATTTCGTCCCGGGGGCGGCGACAAAAACCATGGTGCCCTTACTCTCCTCCGTTGGAAGAGGGCTCGTTGGCTCGCCATCGGCTCGCCTCTCTCTCTCTCTCTCTTCAGCTTGCGCCCCCACCCACCTCGGCCACTTCGTCCTTCGTGAGGGTCTTCTCGAAACCCGGCATGGACCCTTTGCCGTGCACAATGAGATCGACGTTCTCCTCGAAGGTTTGCAAGGCTTCCACTCCACCACTGTGGCACTCCTCGCAACTGGTGGCCTCGTTGGTTTCAGGCTTCTCCGGCAAACCCGAGGGGTCTTGCTCCCTCGTTGGTCCGGTTGGATTCCCTCAAACTCGCACGTGCAGCTTGCATGGCAAGTTTGTTGTGTTTGCTCCTTGGTTGGCACAGAACTATAACTGTATCAATAGAATTCTTATAGCCAGTCAACACCTCTCAATTCTTCATGATACCCTTTCAGGATCCAAAAAACAAACGCCGTAGGAATGTCAAGAACTTACAATAAATAAATACCGCGAACAATAAAACAATTGTCCTGTTCCACCCCAGCTTACGTTGCAATAGTGAACTTGCAGCAAAAATCGGTAAAATACTGTTACTACTGTACCATAGTTTCTGTACATCTCTCTCAACTACATTGCAATAGTAGACTTGAGGTCCTGCTTGGCAATCAAAACCTGATCTTTCTAGCAAATCCAGAAAACATACTTCAAGTCCTTAGCATTTCCCTTTCAACTCCGTTCAACTCCTTTCACTTGCCTTTTGATTCTTTCTAATTGTCAGTCCGAGGTGTTATATTGCGGGAGCCTATGATTGCAGCGATGTTTTCGTTTAAGAAAAAGAAATGATTGTTTTTGTAGGGGGCAGGCGGGTGTTTATACTTGCGATGTGCACATGTTTTACAAGAGAGGAAGCCTCAAATAGAACCGATCAAGGGGTTCCCCAATGAACTGCTCCACAATACTTCTGGCTTTCTATTCAACACTCGTTCAGCGGTCCTACAGTATATGGAAAAGAATATTCAAACAACTACAAAAGCAAGGTCTGCAAGCTTCCTACATCAGCCACTCTCCACAATTAGAAACGGTGTCTGACAAGCGACCCGCAACTCTTTCGCGACCCGTCTGGACTGCCCACTGGGCTCTTGTTTGAGTATTGGTCTTCATCGGTCTTGGTGCACAGCCTAAAAACTCAGCTCTCTTGCAAGGGTTTTGATGATTACCGCCCATCTATGGTAGGAGCGATGCAAGCAAAAGGATACTTTCTTCAAGCTTCCTTGGAACTAGGACTCCACCTTTGCGTGTCCTGCTGCGTTGCTGCGCGATGTCCGGCCGAGGGGCAAAGATCTTCGCTCCAGCTTGGTCCGTTCCAGTCAGTTCCTGAGGACAGGGATCTCCATCCGATCTCCAGTGGATACGAAAACGGAGCATGGCTGTGGGACATGGCCATGCGCCAGGAGACCGAACGGTTCAACCATGGCCGGAGACCGTTAGGTTTTGGAGGTCGTGCGCAGACTCCAGGTGCCTTGGTCGGGCTCCGGAGTTTGAACGACCGACGGGGCCGCGGGTGTGTCTCCATCCGATCTCCAGTTCGGAGTGGGCCAAACATGGGGAAAACCCAATGGCCACAAAGGGGGTTCATCGGTGATCCGATTGGCTGGGTCGGACTCTTGCACCGTGAATCGTGTTGCGATTCACCTGGTGCGGCGCTGCGGGAGGTTCCGAGGGGTTCCAAGTGCCGAGTGACTCGCAGCATGAGTTCCTCAGCCATCCTTGAGGAGTACAGAATACCTAGGGCCTTAGGGTGACACTCCAGTTGACCCTGCAATCAATGTTGAAAAGAAAGGAACGTTCACGCCAATCAGCCAAACTAGAACAACAATATATACATCGTCAAAACAACCAACACAACCCCCAAGTTGCACCAACATGTCTTTTCCCCGAAACGAACATGTCCATCCGAAGCAATCCCCCCAAAACAGTTCGGCCGCCGCCACAACCGACTCGTCCTGACCCAGTCCGATCGGTCTAACCCCACAACACGACCCATGCGGATTTGAAGGAACCATCTACAGTGATTCTACAACCAAAACAGGGTTTCCACCGCATGTCCTGTAGATGTTACCTTCAAAGATTTGGAAACCAAGGATCAGCCTTTTCCTGCAATAAGGAGTTGGTCTTCTGGGCTGACCGGGTGGGTAGCAAAGGAATCTTGTGACGTGCCACGATCTCCTGGCAGGGAATAAGATGCGATTAATCACTAGCGGTGGCCTCAAACCTAACTGCGATGGCGATGGCCTCCACCCTAGTAGCGATGGCCTACAACCTGAAAGTGATGGCCTCCAAGAGAAAAAACTTGCAAATCCTGCCACGTTCCTCCAGCCGAGCAGTTCGGTTGTTGCGCACAGATGGATTGATGAAAGTTGTGGGGTTTTGGATGCTCACTGGCCCATTTGACGAGTTGGCGGGCCATAGAAGTATATGTTTCTACTGGCAGGTGAGCAGCGAATCAAACATGAAAGTATGGAGTGGCTAGTTTGGCTGACGCCAAACAACTGCCGACATTCGAAGGTGACTAATTCCCATGACAGAATGCTCATTTTTTATTAGGCATTGTAGTATATACTATATATAATATACCATATACCTCGAACTCTGGCCACGGGTCACCAGGAGACCGGCACCGGCTTCTCCTTCGGTGCTCGGGTCGGAGTCTGGCACGCGGCGCTCCGTCGCGCGACGTCGGCTGAAAGGTCCTTCTTGTCGTGATCGCTCACGCTGTGCGTGAAGGCCATGGCCGCGTCATAGCACTTCTTCTCCGACTGGTGACGGTCAAATTGGCACGTTTCAGCTTCCGACTGTGGAAGAAATCGAACAAGGAGAAAACATGAGAACGAGCATGGGATCTAAAAAATGGCATGGTATTGATGTTCCAAACAAACCAGAACAAACCGCCAAGCAGTGCCATTTTTTGACAATCTCTGAGTTGCTGCAGCATTTGCTACCCACGATCTGAACAAAAAGTTGTTTGGTCCAGTAGTAAAATAACCATTTGGGTCCTCTGAATTGAACATTTGATGTTTTTCACTCCACCCGACAGCTGAAGGACTGCCTCAGCTGTAAGTCTGTGTGTTTGTGTTTTTGTGTTTGGTTTTTCGTCTTTTCAGGCCGCAAAGTCGCTCAGTACTGTACTGTAACTTGGGAAATGATATCCCATTACACAAAACGACATGAAGGGAGGAGCACTGAAACGACATGCGTATTTTCGGCTGAAGCACGCAAGCAAGCCTGTTCAAGACTCAAAAGGATTCAGAACATAGCTGCAAGATCTGCAAGTCAGCCAATAGATGTGGTGTATGATGTCATGAAAGTGCTGGATCATTGCGGTGTATCTTTGGAACTCCCAAGTTCCAATGAACACAAAAGCAACAAAACATACCAAGCACAGCACGCTCGCCAGGCCCTCCCCAAGTGTTCACCTCCTTCGCCCTTTTCAGTCCGAAGACCCCGTGGTCGAGACCGTAGTCTCCGGTCGCCGCCCACCCCAGCCCATCCAGTTCTTGCCTGTGCTATCGCCAAAAGATTGGCAGGAACACCCTTGGACTTCGCGTCCGGATGAAGGAATGCTCCTGCCGTCCATCCAAGGGCCGATCGAGCGAATCTCCGACCCGTCGGAAAACGATGGGGAGGACATCACATGCGCGGCGGCGTTGGTTGCTACTAAACTCAAACACAAATAAACACAATATATCTATTTAGAGTATATATGTTTGAGCCCTATCTGGCTCCACGAATACTGATGTTGGACTAATAGAGCATGCCATGGACTCCTGGACTACTTTAGTCAAGACCAAATAAAGTGGTTGCTCACATGGTTGTTGCATGCTTTGTTTGGTTGACCGCAAATCCATACCTAGCTATAGGATGCTATAGGAACATATGGATGAACATATGGATGAACCAAGAAATACAAACTAGAGGTCCTAGACAAATTCATGCCACAACCCTTGCAGCGTTGATATGATATCCAGTCGATTCACTGGTTTCCAGGGTCTTGTGTTGTTTCGTTCAACTCGGATCTTGTGTCCTAGATCTACATTGATCTGCGGTGTGAACATCTCACCGGACCTTGACAAATAAGCCGATAGGCATTATTTTGAGCTTTCTCTGACTTCAACTGCTAGGTTCCAATGAGAAACTGGATCCAAACAACTGCATCTTCTCGAAACTCCTTGTAGTTGTCGATGAACTCTACAAGAAACAGTAAAACAAACTACCCAATGACAAACTACCCAATGATTGCCACCAAATTCATCATGACCCTCCATGCCCCACACATCCCCTGGTGTTTTCATGGTCACTTCTCCTCCTTTCAAGTCCCCCCGTGGATCTTGCCAATCGGCACCACGCGTGGGGTGCTGATTCTGTTCGTGCATCCGCTGTAACACCTCGTGCGCCTTACGGACGGCCCGTCCCGCCCGGAGTCGGCAGTCGGTGGAGGATGCTAGAGGATGCTGGAGGATGCTAGTCGCACTCGGAGCCCGGAACTCACCCTGGTAGCTTGAGGTTGACCAGGTCTACTCGTCGATTCCGCTCAAAGTGGCGGAAAAAATAACAGGTTCCCCGATGCGTCGTGGTCAGAGCATTCCAAGACTCTTTAGTTGAGAATAGGGTGTCTGGGATAGTTGGTAGATGTGCACTGTACAGAAAACATGCAATGTCCATGCCCCACAATCTGAGTTCTTGTCTTCCTTTTGAGACAGACCCCCCCAAAAAATACTGACTTGTGTTCAACGAACTCGCCACTCCCCGCCGCCCTTATGGTAGGAGCGGGTACACGGAAACATGGTTCCCCGTAGACAAACCAATTAAAGGACAATCGTAGGACCAAGAGAGTATCACTCTACGACATCAGGATGCATCCAACAACAACAACAACAACAACAACCATTGCAATTGGTCAAGGAAATCGTGGCTTGGAATAACCATATCTAAAGTGCGTACCTCTTGAGCTCTTGACATATGGATTGCTTCAATGACCGGCTTTTCCGTTTTGAATTTTGGATAAGGATGGCAGGGCCCTCCACCGACAGGAAAGCTGGACAAGACTATAATTGGAATATACTTGCGAATAAGGAAAGAGAGAACCTACGGCATGTTTCGGATAAATATGAAATGGAGCGAAGAGCATCTGCTTGAGTCTTTCAGGATCGTTTAGATTTAGGGAGAAGTTGCACTTCATCTGAACAGTATGCATGTGGTAGAGAGGCAGAGAGATACCGGCCGCATCACGTATCCAAACAGGTAAAGGATCTCTTGCAAGGAAATATAAGCAAATGCCCATTCAGAACATGTATTTTTCTTAGAAAGTGGCGCTGCATCCTAGATGGGCAGGATCCCATCAATCAAGATTCTTGAAAGAAATGCCACACCTTGAAGGCAGCCAACACTTCCCAAGAGCTAAAAAAGCACAAAAGCTTCGACAAATCCATAGATGCTTAATCCGCGGGCTTGGGCTTGGAGAGTGGTTTTAGTTCAAGTCCTGAACACTCACGCAAAACCAACTGGCCAGGCCTTCTCGGAAATGATTTTCAGTACATTATCCAGCTCAGCATCGGAGAATTCCTGCAGGGCAGCATGGCATCGGCTCCGCATCTGACATTGGCTCCAGAAAACGCCGAAAACGCCGAACGCGGAGGTTTCTGTGGCGGAGCGGCCTTTTCTCGCTGTTTGGCCGGGATCGCAACGTTCCTCCACTGAAAAAAACGTAGAGCATGGGGGAGTAATCGAGCAAGAACATACGACCTACTCGACAACACATACCGCACGCAAACAATCCATATATAGAATATTTGCCTGATTTTGCTTACATTGGAGGTAGTTGTAAGAATTATATATCTAAGGGTCAATTGTAGGTAAATATTCCATACATGGATAGTAACACATACAAATAAATACCCCGTGGGTCTTGCCCAGAACAACCACCATGTCTTGGTTCTTGGCCAAACCCACCTCTCTCTCTCTCTCTCGCTCGCCACAGCAAAAAAAAACACGTCGAAAGGCTGTTGAGACACCCAAAACATCCCAAAACAGACCTCCAAACCAGCAACAACCTCCCAAAACTACTAGGAGCAATGTTCGCTACTAGGGGCTCCTGGCATCGCCACTAGGAACAAGAAGCTACTAGTAGGGGCTCCTGGCCTTACTACTAGGAGCAATGTTCGCTCCTAGGGGCTCTTCTTCCCAGTCAGTGGTCTTTCCAAGCTTTGGCGATTCCCACGGCTCCTCACAGGGTTTGGCCTTTCCGTAGCTGATGCGCAACAAGTGCTTGTTCAGGAGCTCATTCGATTCTCCTGGATGAAGATGTTCGGAACAACCCAAGTCAACAAGGAACTGTCATTGATTAATAGGGACTCGAAGAACATACGATACATATACGACACATTACGACACATCGAGCATCACCCGGAATTCCCCATGCGGAGTCAGAGGCCGAACCGAGACGAGACGAGAGTCCTGTATGGGCCGCCAGGAACTTCGGTCCGGGCACCACCTTCTTCGCACGTGCCAAGTCCAAAGGCGACAACCCTCGACTTTGCTGTAGTAAGCCCACCTGGTGTCCGAGGTCTCCGACGTCTCCGAGCTGTTGAGAACGACGGTCTCGGGATTAAAACGGCAGCCCCGCGGGCGCCCTGGTGCCAGTGATGTGTTTTTGGGTCGCAACCATCTCCTCTTTGGTCGCACCGTGTTTCCACATCGAAGTGATCGCCATTGGGAGGCCTATTTGGGGTGGCCCAAATAGCAGCTGTGTCCCATGCTGCCTGGAGTGAATTCGTCAGGAATCGGTGGAAGCGGCGATGTGACCGGCCCACCAACGCGGCCCTTACAAAAGGCCCCACAAGCAGCCCATCCTGAAAAAGAAGCCCCATTGACGTGTGTATGTCTCATAGGGAGACAACCTGAGTGGCCAATATGTAGACTGGTCTATGTTCCTTCTTCCAGAAGGTTGAACTGGGAGCTCTCCCGGTTTTTGATGCCAGTGAAACACTGGCCAGTGAAACGCTCTCCCTTCCCTTCGGCCTTAGGTCGCTTTCCCCCGTTCCCAGGTCCCCTCCCGCCTCTGGAGATTCATCGCAGCTTTGTGAAAGTCCAGAGGTTAGCAGGGACCAAAGCAACAGCCCCGCAGCACCAGGTCCCATGGCACGACTCGTCGTCCCACAGGACCGGTGTGTTCAACCCGAGTGAAGGATGAATACGGGAAAGCACAAATCTACCTGGCAAAAGCTGGCCAACTGCCCGGGTCGAACGAAGAAAGCATACACACGGGTGGACGCCCAAAGACTTTGGGGACTTTCGGCCTCACTGATTCGGTTCTGGGAGGTTGTGGGCATCGCATGCGTTTTGCTCAGGAGGCCGCTTTCTCCGAAGGGGCAAAGGTTCCGGGGGGGTCTCCGCTTTCTCCAAGTCGGGCCTTGAGCCGCAGCAAAACACAACGAGGTCAGCCAATGGACGACGACTTTGGACTCGGTTGTTGCGACACCTGAATTACCAGGAGTTCACAAAGGGGTGCCGAACTTGGAGGACAAGGGTGCCCAGCTACTCCACTCACTGGATGGGACCTAAAAATCCCACCCTCTTTGTGACTCCTGGTGCTCACCAGTTGATTGAAGATGATTGAATAACAAGAACAAAATCATGGCCCTCCCAAAGGTTCTCGGTTTTTCAGGTCCCGCTCTAGTCTTGTGCAGGATTCTGAACCACAAATCCACGTCCGCCTTTTTAAACCGAGTGCGGTAGACTTTCAGACTCTTCAGCTCGACCATATCGCAGAACGACGCCACCACTGTTCAACGCTGTTCCACCATGCCATGGCATAGGATGTTCCCGCACACGGTCCAGGTTCTTTGCCATGTTCCAGCACGTCCAGGTTCCAACACCATCCAGCAGTTCCAGAAGTTTCCACTCCGATCTTTTTCGCTCACCGATGGGCCTGCGCCGCCTGAATGGGAGTGCCTCACAGGAGCTGGTATTGATCCTGCGCCTCACGGTCATCTTGAACAAGGCACTCTTTCAAGCACGCGACCACGAGCAAATATCCAGCTGTCTCGATGCACTGCAAAGAAGTGAGAATCACCAACGCCAGCTGGTATGGATTGCTTCCATCTTCTAGGGCAATGCCGAGAACAATGCCGTAGAAAGGAAGAAGTGCAAGTCCAAATCCCAAGATGATCCATGCGTGGCATGCTCTCCTTCCATGCATGGCCCACCAGCTCATACCACTCCAGGTGGGAAGTAGGATGAGACTGGACATCAGAAGCATCCGGCAAGGTTTGGAGAGAGCGGCATCTCCAAAGCCCCAAAGACCGTACCTGATAGGTGGACTCTCAGTCATAAGTCCGGAGGGAGAAATCATGGGCCCATCTTCTCGCTTGCAACCGAACATTTATGACACTTTGTAAGAATTCCGGAGTAGGATGCTCTGTGGGCATGGTTTTTCTGCGATGGCTATCTAGCCAGGCACCACAAAAATTGAACAAAAAGAACATAAAAGAACTGTTGGATCCATCTGCTAGCTGGATGCAGCACCCCTTGGAAGGCCGCAATGATCTGACCATGACACCAAGTCTTCTTCATGAGAAGCCGACTCGTCGCGGCGTCCAGCTCATTCATGGCGTTTGGCTCGGTGTTTAGCCGTGGGACGAGCATGGGACGAGCATGCTGATCATCAGATGGCTGTGAAAACCACCATGCTACCTGGGTTGACCGCCCCAAATGAACAGAATGGACGACTTACAGACAGGAGGTCAACCTACCCTGAAATAACAGGGATCCGGGTTTTGATCGTCAGACGAACGAGGAGGACCATGGAGGACACCATAAGTTCTGGCGCGTCGCCCAACAAAACAGGGCCCCACCGTTCGGTGCGAAGGAGTCGCGACTCGAGAGGCCGAGCCGTTCGAAACCGAAGAACGAACGGCACGGCGTGGGCCGCGCACAGCACCTCGTGAGACGTTCAGATCTTCCAGAACGAGGTTGTGCGACATATTACATTCCCCCATTAAAAAATCACGCGCACACACACACACACACTTAGATGGATGCTCGCAAGAGCTAAGTCGGTTGAAGAAGTCCCACTCTAGTGATTACAATACCGGCTTAGAGCGCTGGAACCTGAACCTGTCAATGGCCCTGTGCAAACCGTAGGGTGAAGAAGTCAGCAACAAAAAAGTTTAACATCATCAGTGAAATTGCAGGTGCACATCAGGACGTCTCCCGATGCATCACCAGAGAATGTGGACGTCTTCGTTGGCAGTGTTTCCACAAACTCTGTCACTGCCCCCTGCAGGTGCATGAATTACGCAGTTGAGACCTGAAACACGAAACCTTGGAGACAGGTGTTGACACCCCCCCCCCACCCACCCACCCACGCACGCACGCACGCACGCACGCAGGCACGCATGCACGCACGCACTCACGCACTCACGCACGCACGCACTCACGCACGCACAAGCACGCACGCACGCACATCACCGACACTTGAGAAAAAGAACCTCCAAGGAGTTCTTGTGTTCTGGGTGGATCTCGGGGAGCATTAGCACTTTACTTCTACCGCGATTTGGACCGACCTGCAGAACCACAGGTCCAGAGATTTGTATTGTTTAGCACGGGTGAAACCAGAAGCAGAAGGGGTATTAACATGTGGCGTCCCACGTTGCTTCACCACGAGCTGACAGTCTCTTCGTTGGGTAGTGTCTGTCAGTCGTGCACTACCCCCCGACAAAGATCTGTACAAAGAATAAGGTAGAGTAGAATAGCAAAAGGTAAAGGCCCTGGAGACGGGAGGTGACACACGCACACACACACTGACACACTGCACAGGATTCCTGCCAAACGAGTGAATTTGCTGCTGAAGACTCTCCATGGTGGAATTGGAAAGAACAACTGCTGCATGCTAAGGAACATGCTCCGGCGAGCAGAGTTCGAGCCGGATTTCGCCATGTTTGGTGAGATTCGAAGCCATGTTTTCAGCGGAGAGCCGCAGAGCAAGGTTTGACGACTTCCTGTTGCCTACTTTCAGCGCCAGCACCGACGACATCCGACCCAAGAACACTTCGAGTCCCTCCCGCGCAGGTCTACGCCGCTCTCCAACGTTTGGTTCTTTTCCTTCTTCACCAAGATGAAGTATCGCTTGGTAAAGCGCCCATGACTCCAAAGGCGATCGAAGTAGGAGGATGCCTGTCTCGACGCGAAGGCGAGTTTAAAAAAACGACCTGATGGGTCGAGGAGATTCACTGAGAAGAGTTTTGGTGTGTTGCAGGTCCGGAATTTCTCCAAGTCACAAACGATGTGGGAGCTGTTTGATTCAATCAGATCCGTTGTTCAGAAGTTTCTTCCCGTCGAGAGGTTGGCACAAGATGTGATGCGCATGTATTTTGGGGGTGAGACGCCAAGCTGTTTGAGAATAAGTGAGAAACCACCATGCGTTGTTTTGGGATGTCGGGGCGTTGGACTATAGCTGCCCAGGTTTGCAGAACCAGCCGGACAAGTCTTGGGTTCAGGAAAGAGCGTTGTTAACAGAATCACGAGGTGTTGCAAAACAAACAGGTCGTACCTCCGGCGAAATCTCACGTAAAGCCGGCGTAATCTCCCGATGACTCGGACTCAATGTTTGTAAGCTCTTGTATCTTGAACAGCTTTCTTCAAGAAGAGTTTTGACTCAAACCATGAGTTCTGCTACGTCTGTTAGGGGGGGTCGAGGTCTTGCAGCGAGCCAAAATACATCAAAATTCATCAAAAACAAAACCTTGAGAGCAACCCACTCAAAACACGCGGTTGCAAAGAGAAATGGATTCCTTGCATTTACTTACTCCTAGCTTTGTTCTTGGAAGTCTTGGAGTAGAAGCACATGTTTGCCAAACCCAGTCCCAACCACATCCAGAAATGCATGTTTCCACTGGTCCCAACCATTTGTTATGTAACAGATCTGAAAGATGGGCTAAAATATATCAGGAAGGCGGTTTTAGGCTCGGTTTTCCTCTTCAAAGCCTCTTAAGTGTTGAAATGTGTGTAGAATGAGTGTGCTCCGGAAAAAGAATAGACTACTTGTGCTCCAAGGGCAACTTGCTTGTGCATGATCCAACCTTTCACCATCCCATTTTTTCAGGGATCCGCGGATGATTCTTCAGCTGAAAAAAAAACGCTGGATTGAAATCCGGCACTTCTTCCATCCCAAACATATAACTACAGTCAGCCAGCTCCATCTGTGCAATTCAAACACCTCGATGACTTCGACCGAATCTCTCCATCTCGGCCCACACCTCGGCCCGCCCCCGCAGCGGGTCGGAAACGTCTCCTCCGGGCCGGCTGCCCCGCCTCGGGATCCACCACCCCGGCGGAACGCCCTGGTTTGCCGCGCCACACCTGGGCAGGTCACGTGTCGATCGGCTGACGCTCCGGACCGATCCAATCGGTGGAAAAGGTGTGGGTGGCAGGTCCTCGTGCGACGCTCGGTGGAACGAGTGAGCAGGTGATGTGAGGTGATACGACTCGGTGGAACGAGGAAGGAAGACTCGGTGATTCTGGACGTAGGCTGCGAAAAAGGTTTTTTGGGATGCCAGGCATGTTGAACAGGGAGACCCCCCCCCAAAATCGCGCCCTGGCTGGGAAGACGTAGACTGGACCTAGTTTCCAACCTTCGGAACGCCACGCCTGTGAGGTCGAGACCTGGGAGGTTTTGCCGGTGTTCAAAACAACTAGCGATGGCCACGTAACCTTGTAGCGACGGCTTCCAACCTACTAGCGATGGCTTCCACCCTATACTAGTGATGGCCTCCAACCTCAATGCACTCAAGGAAACTCTTGAGGAATTGGATGACGATGTTGAGACGTCTCTTCTCTCCATCTACACCCCACGATGGCTCGATGGCTGTGGGGCACCCCGGCGTGGATGGAGCTTCCGAGCTTGTCCTGGCCTCGGCAGTTCGAACAAACAGTTGCTGTCAACCCCCTCAAAAGTGCTTTGTTGCTTTCGGAAAAATAGAAGATTCGACGCCTGGCATGATGTCTTGTGCCTGGCTAAACCATCCACCTATCATGGGCAACTAGACGACCCAAAGACATACAAAAACTGAACGGTTTATGCGGCATGCGGCATGCAATGTCAAGAAAAAAAAAGAAAACCGGGCGTGGCTGTTGTTCA